CACTCTCAGTTTGATTCAGGTGTGTTAAAATGGAGTGCATCAAAAATGTTGCAGGATAGTAGCTCTTGAGGGCTGGACTTGAGCACCCCTGATCTAAGGGGTTTTGCTGGCAGTCAGCACAACAACAAAACATTTTGATGTGTCTGTTTCCCAGGACAATAAAACATTTTCATCGCCAAATTGCTCTGAGAGAATATTTTGGCCCCAATATACATGGTTTTGTTTTTAACTAAAAAAACAGAATGTATGCTTTAATGAAGGTTCAATGTTCAGCAGGGAAGAGAACTAATGGTAAACCCCAAACATCTAAGAGAATAACTGCAGTTAATTTTGGTTACTACCTGCTGAAATTTTGTTTGTCCTGGATATTTCTCTTGGGGAAAAATAACCTCAATACCCTCCTTGACACATCCAAAGTTTTAGCCTTATATAAATGCAAAGGACATTTTTGCCTACCTCTTATACTTACGTGTGGTGTTCACGTGCAAGCTCTGTACTGGCGGCAACCTGTTGCCTTGGTTGGATCATCCAGTGGAGCCAGTTCTAGCACTAGGATTCTTCATGACAGAAATAAATCTTTTTTTGTAGTTATTATTACTAAGTTAAATTGGGTGAAAACGTGGTTAACAGATTTTTTTCATGAGCATTTATTTTAATGCAAAGTGATGTTTATATTTTCTTGGAAGGCAGGGAAAAAATTATTTCGAACAACCACTCTCTTTTAGGGCAACTAGTCTGTCAAATTTATATAATCTGAGCGACAGAGAGATAACATCCCTTCTCTGTTATAACTTTCCTTTAAGTTAAACATATGATTACTTAAATACATGATGTTAGCAGGTCATCTTAAAGAAGAGATTAAAAAACAAAATAGCAAACATTCTTTAATACTACTACATTTATGTTGAATATTTGTTGCACACATTCTTCCTTTTTTTTTGTTTATAGGATGTTGTTTTTTTTAGGCAATTGTTGGATTAATCGGTAACTTCAGAGAAACCATGTGATGTTTATGTAATATGCTCATTTGCAAATCCCTTTGACAACAACCCATATCTGTTATGTGATTAAGGGGCTAAAAGCACACAATACATTAGAAATGTAACATGCTATTATTGTTAAGGAGATATAATATGTCAAGTATTTCAAAGTCTGCTGAAAAATATCCAATCAAAAGCTCATCAACAGTTGGAAAAGTCAAGAAAAATTTCTGTTGTCTCCGCCCCTTTTTGTTATTTTACTCACCATCAACCTAGAAACCCAGTGAATATGAGCATAATTATAGGTGGAGTTTATTATTAAGTGCTAACAATATGTATCTAAATTTGTCTCTCAATAGCAACAAAATAAATCTGGTATTTAAAGTGACACCACCGTTTTATTAATTTTTGCCTGTAACTCTCACCCCGTCTACATGTTCACGTTGCACGCACACCCCTCCCACACAAACACACATAGCTGCACTTGTATCATTACAGGGACAGTTCAATGGAGCAGTGGGTCAGTGCTCAGCTGCTTTAGACAGAATTAGAATGGCTAACAGCTGAGCTTCTCATGGGTGATATCATGTGACCTATCCCACCCACAAGCCCAAAACAGAACACGGCTAGAGTTACCATTTCCAATTTCACCGAAGCCTCACATGTATGATTGTGGGAACCCTGTTTTTTTACTGTATACATTTGTGTCGCATTAAAGTAGGGGAAATGTAATGAAAATACTAACCTCTATGGTTGGGCCTGTTCTCCTATATATATATATATATATATATATATATATATATATATATGAGAGGCTTTTTGGAAAAACCAAGATAGGAAATCATGTGGCTTTCACTCAGGCAGAGAGAATTGAACCCGCCCACCTTACCTGCATTTAAAAGGATTAGCTTCAGCAGCACATTTAGAGTTGTTTAGATGTATTGTTTTCTTGTCTGAAGAATAACAGAGTGGCTTTTTTTCAGGGTCTGTCAGCAAAGCATGTAAGGCTGAAAGAGCTGAGCACCGCACCAGTCATTACTCTTCTGAGTCACCTATGAAAGATCTTATAACAAGCATCTACTTTCACCGCTATTGACGGAAATATTTTATTTCTCAGTTCACCCATACTTTTTTTGTTTACTGTAGCAAGTGACTTACAGGTGCTGGTCATAAAATTAGAATATCATGAAAAAGTAGATTGATTTCAGTAATTCCATTTAAAAAGTGAAACTTGTATATTATATTCATACATTACATACAAACTCATATATTTCAGATGTTTATTTTGTTTAATTTTGATGATTACAAATGACAACAAATGAAAATCTCAAATTCATCATATCAGAAAATTAGAATATTACTGAAGACCAATAAAAACAAAGGATTTATAGAAATGTTGGCCAACTGAAAAGTATGAACATGAAAAGTATGAGCATGTACAGCACTCAGTATTTAGTTGGGCCTCCTTTGGCCTGTATTACTGCAGCAATGCGGCGTGGCATGGAGTCGATCAGTCTGTGGCACTGCTCAGGTGTTATGATAGCCCAGGTTGCTCTAATAGTGGCTTTTAGCTCTTCTGAATTGTTGGGTCTGGTGTATTGCATCTTCTTCTTCACAATACCCCATAGATTTTCTATGGGGTTAAGGTCAGGAGAGTTTGCTGGCCAATTAAGAACAGGGATACCATGGTCCTTCAACCAGGTACTGGTAGCTTTGGCACTGTGTGCAGGTGCCAAGTCCTGTTGGAAAATGAAATCTGCATCTCCAAAAAGTTGGTCAGCTGCAGGAAGCATGAAGTGCTCTAAAACTTCCTGGTATGTGGCTGCGTTGACCCTGGACCTCAGAAAACACAATGGACCAACACCAGCAGATGACATGGCACCCCAAACCATCACTGACTGTGGAAACTTTACACTGGACTTCAAGCAACGTGGATGAAGTGCCTCTCTTCTTTTCCTCCAGACTCTGGGACCTTGATTTCCAAAGGAAATGCAAAATTTACTTTCATCAGAGAACATGACTTTGGACCACTCACCAGCAGTCCAGTCCTGTTTCTCTTTAGCCCAGGCAAGACGCTTCTGACGCTGTCTGTGGTTCAAGAGTGGCTTGACACAAGGAATGCGACAGCAGAAACCCATGTCTTTCATACGTCTGTGTGTGGTGGTTCTTGAAGCACTCACTCCAGCTGCAGTCCACTCTTTGTGAATCTCCCCCACATTTTTGAATGGGTTTTGTTTCACAATCCTCTCCAGGGTGCGGTTATCTCTCTTGCTTGTACACTTTTTTCGACCACATCTTTTCCTTCCCTTCGCCTCTCTATTAATGTGCTTGGACACTGAGCTCTGTGAACAGCCAGCCTCTTTAGCGATGACCTTTTGTGTCTTGCCCTCCTTGTGCAAGGTGTCGATGGTCGTCTTTTGGACAACTGTCAAGTCAGCAGTCTTCCCCATGATTGTGTAGCCTATAGAACTAGACTGAAAGACCATTTAAAGGCTTTTGCAGGTGGTTTGAGTTAATTAGCTGATTAGAGTGTGGCACCACGGGCCATCAATTTTGAACCTTTTCACAATATTCTAATTTTCTGATATGATGAATTTGAGATTTTCATTTGTTGTCATTTGTAATCATCAAAATTAAACAAAATAAACATCTGAAATATATGAGTTTGTATGTAATGTATGAATATAATATACAAGTTTCACTTTTTAAATGGAATTACTGAAATCAATCTACTTTTTCATGATATTCTAATTTTATGACCAGCACCTGTAGTAATAGTACAGAGAGAGACAGAACAAAGTAATGCAGTGGTATTAAAATGTATTCATGGCATTAAACCTTTCCACATACAGACAGGGCTTTTTTACAAAGATTTTTTTAGATACACCGACAGACAGCGAAGCATAACTGTGAAGCTGAGGAAAGACGAAACATTGTTTTTGTTTTGGCTGACTAGGTCAGAGATGAAGCTGTGGAGAAGTTTAAAAAAATGAGCGAGGTGTAAAACACTAGGCCAACCTTTCAATATCTCATGCAACACTGTTCAATCCACAAAGCCCTTAAGGAGACCCAGCAAACATGTAAAAAAGTTAATTATTCCTTTTACAAGCAAAACACTGTGTTTAGCAAAAGAGGGAATGATCCAAAAGATGAAATATGGTGGTAAGGGTATCATGCTGTTGGGATGTTTTTATTTAATAGTAAGAACAGGAAAACTGCACAAAGTAAATAAGCCTCTTTGTTTCTATTAGAACCAATCACAAGAATTTAGCTCACTCATGTCAAACATATTCAGAATTCCTGCAAAGTCAGAACCTAAATGCAGTGTAACAGATGTGCTTCTGCAAGTAAGTAGCCTTAATCGGGACAAATAAGGTCTCAAAAAGAAGAGGAAACTGGTAAGAAAGTGTGGAAGGAAATGTTTGCATGATCTATATAGATAACAGGTGAAGGGAATGAATCTACTGAGCTATATTTACTGCAGGTTTCCAGCCTGATGCCTGTCGTGAGTGTAAAGTGTGCAGTGGATTGTGGGGGATGGGTCACAACAGGAATTAGGTAATACTGAAATGGTTGTTTTAAGCCTTCCCTCCCAGCAACACTCAGATCAATGCACTGGATCGATAGGAGTCATTGGCAATAACTGAACTTCTCATGCGATCACTGAAGGAGAAAATTCAAAGAAATCTTCCCCCTTGCATACCTCCCAACACACCCATTCATCACACAGAAGGGTTGTAGTCTCCCAAGTGAGATGAGACACCAGTGACCCTCTGTGCACACTGAAACATTTAATATTTATATATACATGCACACACAGCAGGGATAAGTATGCCCTTTTTCTGAAACACTGCATGATTGGTTATTTTTCTCTCACACTCTCTCTCTCTCTCTTCCTGCTGGAATAGTTTGAACAAAAGACAGAAGGTGGAGGAGGAGGGTGCATGGTTGGGGGAGGGGATGTGTGTGTCCAGTTCTCTTGTCACCAGGAGGGAGGGACGAAGGTGGGAGTCAGATGGGGGAGGGAGAGTGGGAGAGAAGAGGATAGGGTCCCACAAGTGAGAGAACGAGAAAGAGCAGCCCCCCTCCTGCACACTCATCCATAATCCGTTCCCCCTTCTGTATTTGGAGGAATATTGGATTACTTTCTGCACAGGAGTACCAACAGAGCGCATCCAGGGATGGTCAGGTCTGTAAACATTTCCTCGCTTGTTGACAAATGTGTTTCATTTCCTGAGTCATGCAGATAATTGTTCTGCTTTTTGCGCATTTGTATCCTTCCTATTACTCCTTTTTTCATGATTTATTTTCTTTTTTTCCTCAATGGTTTTGTCTCTTTGCACGCACTGCATGTCATTCTCGTAAATCGTCTTCTTAACACTTTCTGTTTATTTATTTCTTTTTTTTGTTTGTTTTGCAAAAAAAAAAAACTTTTTAAAAGTGAAGCCTGTTTTTCAGGATGCTAATTTTTTTTTACACTGTAAAGTAAAAAACAGAAAAAGGTTAAGAAGGAGAGTATCAGCGCCTGACTAATTTTACATATATCTGGATGATTTATAGGTTTTCCCTCCACTTTTCAATAGTTAAACACTTTTAAAACATATGTTTATATTAAAGTAAATAAAATATATGTCCAAATGGTCTGGAATTTAAGTGTGAAAAAGTAAATGCATAAGTGGCTTCAGTGGCGCCACCAAGGGGCGACAAAGGTGGGCAATGTTCACCCCTATAAATCTGCTGGACCTCAGCAAATGGCCAGACATTTTTAAGAGCATTATTTTTTTTTTTTACACATGAATTTAAAACAGGAAAAGACAACCTCAGTCATGTTTTAACATTTCATTTATTTATACTGATTTTATTCCTTTATTTTGTCCTTCATAATTGCCGCTTTGAACGTTTGTCACTCAGTCTTAACACAATTTACTGTATGTCTCAAATTAGAAGAGTTGATTTATTCCAAATCCCCCCCAAAAAATAATGATAAAGATATACCAATAACTCTAAATAATCTTTTTTTCAATCCTTTTTCAGTATTTTAGATTTCTTATTTCCTGTTTTATTATAAGATCAATATAAATTGATGGCTTTCCCATATAAATTTTACAAATTATAGCATTCAAATAATTTCTATCCTTTGATTTTGTCATGTAAAGATATAAAATTAACCTTATTTTTGAACAAATTTAAGGAAAATATAAAAAAAACCCACCAAATTTATCAGTATTGATATTTAGAATCAAAGAGAACCAAACAAAATTCCATTCTTTTTTTAACTTATTCATGGCAACACCTGTAGTAAAAGGCGCATTTGATACGTATCCTTGCAGTTTTGGTCGGTTCCCACTACTCTGTCATTGGATATTTAATACTGGCTGAGTATCAATACATACTACATACAGGGATTTTTCGTATTTGGCTTTATTAAAATGATCCTAATCATTATTTTCATTAGGGAACTGTGTGTTTATGATTAAACTACAAGGAAGAGCTTCCTTGGAGTAAGGGTCTCAAACTTAAATCTTTTGGGGTCAGGCCCTGCAACTGTTTGATGTGTTTCAGCTTCAACACACCTAACTCAAATAATGACCTCATTAGCAGAACTCAGTTGAGCTTGACTGCATGTGAACAAGGGAGTGTTGCTATTTGACTCAGGTGAACAGAAAAAGGAGCGCTTCTGAAAGTTGCTGTAACTCAGCGCAATGGGACTAGCTTGTCAGCCTGCCATATTTTAGACCAGGCAACTGGAGCAGAAACAGAAAAAAATGGAGGCTGGGTGCAATATTTTCAGATAAAAATTGAAATAAATACTAGAAAAATGCAGCGATGCTTGAGTTGTGCACATTATGTTTGTTCATCTTTCGTTAAGATAATTAACAAGTAGAAAATACTACACAGTAGTTTGAGTAAATGGGTATTAAATGGTGTCTTTATGGGTTTAACATGAGTAGGCAGAGGGAAATGGCTACTTATGGCTTTATTATAGGGAATGATTTGGAAAAGTAAATCTTTTATAGTTAGCATCACCCTTCTTTTTTTTTTTTTTTGTGAAAGTGTCCCTAGGTAAATAACCTTGACAGTGGCTGTTTTGCCTCTTCAGGTGGCAGAGTATCACAGCAGTGTTGAGCTGTGAACTGAACCATGGAGCTGTACATTAGGCTGGTCACAAGTAGAGACAGCACTCGCACAGTCTACAGCAGGACAAGCAGAACTGACTTTGGGAAGCCCCACAGCATGCAGCCGGGTCTTGAGTAAGGAAAAGTGGACCCGGTCCTCTCCTCTTCACCCAGGGCCAGAGCTGCAGAATGCTCAGTCCTGCCACCCCATACAGTAAGTCATGACACTTTAACGTGTGTGCACTTCCTTGCCCTCTGTTGGTTTTCCTGTTCACATTCTTCTTTGTGGCTTCTCTTTTGTCCGTCTCCTGTGGTTTGGTTAGAGGAAAGCAAGCTGATGGGAGGGTGAGTTGAGAGAAATGGGAGATGTGTGTGTGTGTGTGGTGGGGGTGGGGGGTCCCTGCGAAGTCATGTTGAGAAAGGAGATATGCTAATGGCTTTTACAGCTGAGCCTTCAGGCTTCGTTTTGAGGAATTTCACCAAAAGTGTTCAGTTGCTGTTTTTCCAGCCTCCCCATCTGAGTGTACAGTTTAAACAGCTTTTAGACTCCAAAACATGTTTTGCAGTAAAGCAACTAATGCATCTGATGCTTTTTTTCTTTTTTCAAAGAAAGGGTTATTTATTGTTACTGCCCAGTTCTAAGAAGACTAAAAACAAGTATTCCCTGTTTAATAGGTTACTTCAGGTTTACAAAAAGCAAAGATTGCAAAGCGGGTTTACTTGGATGCAAATGCAATACATTTTTCAAACTGGTTCAACAAGATAGTTAGCAGCTAGACATACTGCATGAATATTGTAAGGACATAAAAGCGTTATAAATGTCCTAGTGTTATAAAAAAAAAGCTGTAGTGTATAACCATAATGTAATTGTGTCTGTTTGGATTATCTTGCCATCCAAGCTGCCAACTGTAAATAAATAACAAAAAAAGACACTTTGATTAAGAGTTATGGGTTGCAAAGTTTTATATTGTACTTTATAACAGCCTGCAATTTACAAGATCTGAGAATTGTTCAACATGCATTCAATATGCTGCATTTATTTATTCAAATGTGTGAATCTGCACTATAGAAATATACTGAATTGAATTGAATTACAGTACACCTCCATAAAAGTGAATTTGCTAACTTATATGCTGTTGAAAATGAAGCCTGTTAGCCTCAACGCATTTTAAGAATTGTAGAAGAAAAAAATGCGGTAACTGAGTGAAAGGCATCGGATTTTAACTTTTTTTTAATATATATATATATATATATATATATATATATATATATATATATATATATATATATATATATATATATATATATATATATATATATATATATATAGATGCACTAATTCTGAACCTCTGTAGTTTAAAATATAAATAAATAGGATTGATCAAACCTTCACAATTATATTAGGAAAAAGAGATTCTTTAAAGTTTTAGTTTTACATTAGTGATACTTCATACTGTTTAGGAAAACACAAAAAAATGGAACATATTACCAGGTCTGGCTCAGAATTCAATGAGAATAAATCCTGCAATATATGAATTATTCAAACCTCGACACAGATAACAAGTTTTTTCTGACATATTGTTAAAATCTTAAAATCTTTTTCTCTTCCACTGAACTTGGTGCATTATCACAACATAAAACACTCAAAGATATGACTTAGATTTTAGTTAAGGTAATACATGATCATTGCAGCTCTGGTCCTGGGATCATTGTTGTATGTATATATATATATATATATATATATATATATATATACACATATATATATATATATATATATATATATATATATATATATATATATATATATATATATATATATATATATATATATGTTACATAGCCTGCGTTAGCATTTAAAAGGTGCTTTCAATATTTGGCCCTTGGCTTAAGAATTTGTTACAGTAACAATTTAGATAGGCAGTATGGCATATAGTGTTATGCAGCCTCATTATATTTGACTTTATTAGAGAGTTCTCTTTACCTTTTTTTTTTTAAGATGATGAATCTTATTACATGAATAAACTCATCTTATTACATGAATAAAGTCAATTAATTTGTTTTAAAAGCAAACCAGTTTCCTTGGTCAAATAGTTATCCATCCCAGTCACAGTTAAACAACCTGGCCCTGGACCTTCATAATTAATTGTATTTGATCCAAACTTGGTTATAAAAAAAAAAAAAAAACTCTGATTTGAAAAAAAAAAAATGGTTTGAGTTTCATCCCCCAGTTTTGAAGTCTAGGCTTTTCCATATGCTTATATTGACAGATTGGTTTATTGATCTGGTCAAGCTTTAACAGGATTACAACACTAACATGATTAGAATAAAGAAAAGGGAATTTCCTTCCACGTGTTTGCATTCTAAATCAGCTTCAATAGAAAATGAGGGAGTTGTCTGAACAGAAAGGAGTTTTTTGTAACATGCATTTGTCACATTCCTTCCTCAAAGTGACTCACAGCATTGTGTTAGTTTTCCTCCTTCTTGACTAAATGCATTCCTAAGCTAGAGTTCATTCGCTTCTTTTTCCCCTCAATCAAATCTTCCACACTGACCCTTTACTGATCAATCTGTAAACACAAACAAGTAAACATCTAATCACCATCGCCCAACACCTCATTAAGGAGGCTCTGTACATAATGGTGATTGTGTGACGCAAACAGAGAATGATGAGCCGTTTTAGCGCTTCTTAAGTCACCAGTTACCGGGGTGAAGCAGTCCTGTGAATGAAAGCCAGATCGTTAGTAACCTGGTGTCAACAGCCTCTCATTAGCTTTGAATGGTGGGCCACATAAATGTCTGCCTCTACAAATGCATTAGCCCTCAAACAGTAACCATGACAGAAAACCACAGCCTACCTTAGATCCCTCATTAGGAATTAAGGTAAAGTTGTGGGCTGCAGCAATTGGGGGTAAAAAAAAAAAAAAAAGCAAAGGGAAGGACAGATGGGGAAGACATGAGGAGGGACTGGTCAGCTGCAGGCTTGATATATGAGTGGACACAATGAGCAAAGAGGAGGTGGGGGCACAGTTCGGCCTCTGCCACATGTGTGGAGCTAAAGGAGTGGGGGAGGGGAAAAGGGACCACACAATTTGGGACACAGAGTTACATCTTTACTGCACTGCACAGGGTTAAGGGGCATACATGCACAGAGTAGGAGTAGAAGCAGGAAGTAGATTTAATGAAGATGCTTTTTAGTCTTCAAACTGAACTTGGTGTGGTAAAATGTTTGCTGCACTGATAGCTGTTCAGCCAGATTACACTTTGCATGCCAGGAAAAAGAGAGGATAGGAAGTTTAGGGAGTGGAAGGATACATTCTCCTTCCCACTGACACTGTTTTTCAGGCAATGGTCACTGCATACATAATAATGTAGCCCTCATTTACCCTGCAAGCAAGGACACTCTCAGTTAGGTGGTGAGTCCACAGTAATGTAGTAGTAACAGTTAATTGGTATACCAAGATTTAAAAAAAAGTGTTTCAAAAAAATTTCTCAAACTGAAAAATATTTTGTTGTAACTTGTCTCTTTATGTGTCAGAGAAAGCTACTAAGTGACCAAAGTTTTGAATTTTATGGAGCATAGAGTAGTGATGGGACTTCCCCACTCATTGCTACTCACTGCCTGTCAGCTGGCTCAGAGGGGGATATTTTACCCCCCTTCCCCAAAATCTCACTCTTTTATTCAGTCCCATATTGGGTCTGAGTTGATATTTTCTGTACTAACTCTTGGCTCTTATCACAAATCTGAAACCTTTCCAGCGCTGCAAGTATTTCCATCATCCCTTTTGCAGATTTTGGAAATTCACCAAGTTTAGAAAGAGTGTATGGAAAAGACATGTTCTCACCCGGTTAGATTCCTGGCATGCCAGCAGCCTGAATCGTCTAGTGGTTGGTCAGCAGTCCCTCATTTTTTGGCCATGTGAAGCTAAACGCTGCATGAAGAACCGCAATGTGGGAGTTCACTTTACTGGAATTTCTCTGTGTGCACGTGTGGGTCTGTGTGTGTGTGTGTGTGTTTCCGAGTGTCTGTCCGTCTTCAGGGGATCTCTTTGTTTATTGTGAGGGGTAAAAAAGCACACAGAGACCATTTAGCTCCAGAGTGGTGACTTTTTTCTTTTTTACCCATCCAGTCCAGGAGCCATCTCTGATGCCCCACAACCCCCAAATCCCATCACAGCCAACCAGCCCCTTCCCCCACATGTACTTCCATCTTATTAACCCCTAATTAGTCATACTGACCATGCACTGGCTCACTATTCAAAGCAGAGTCCACTTGGTCCAAGAGAAAATCAATGATTTTTATATGATTCGATCTTTTAAAGACAAAATCATGTGGTGAAAGAATGAAATCTCAACATATTTGAGCATCAGTAGTACGTGAATACACAAAGATCAATCAACTGATGGAAAAAAATAATGACTAGATTTACTAGAACAATTTATAGCTGCAGCCTCACCATTCTTTAACCTGAGTTGGGTTTTATCTTCCACACATAGGCCTGATTACTTCCAGATTTTCATAATAGAACAACTTAGATGGACCTGTCTGATAAAATAGATAAGGATGAAATATCTCAATAAGAAACATTACATTGGGGAACGTTATGCACAAATGTCTTTCTAGGAAGTAGGGACACCAGTGAACAGTTCTAAGAAAACTGAGGCTTTGGGGAACCTGAGTAATTACTCATCTAAGATGTCTAAAGCCACTAAAAAAGCACTTCATGTCCCACTAGTCTCAGTTAAAGGAGAAGTTCGGTTTTTTACACTTTTAGCCCATTTTCTGTAGTGTCCAGGATGAAATCGAATGATCGACACCAAAAGTTTGACAATTGCTCCTGTCTCTGCTTTTTGGCTCATTTAGAATCCACCCCTGGCTGCTTTAGAATGGCTTGCATAGAGCATGTCCGATAATGTCCTTAAAACAACCTTAAACGTTCTTTTTTTAAAATATGCTACTCACCGGGTCGTCAGCGCTGTTCAATGACGTTCCAAAAAAAGTTTCGTGAAGAAAAAACGTTCCTGTAGTGTTTTATTTAGCATTTTGTAAATCCCATTGAGTTCTGTAGGAATAGTCAATATTCCCCTGCCACCGGAAACGGAAATGGGGCCTGTTTACACAGTTGTAGTCTTTTCGCTTCACTCTGTGTACTCCGACGTCGAGAATCAAGAATCCACCTTTCGTATTCCATTTTCAGAGTTTTTTAAAGTGTT